TTGGCCGAATGGTGACATCGTGCCGTCGCATCCACGGTATTCCCATCACGATCGGATAATGTCCCAACTTTGTAACGAAACATGAAGCAATTTCTCGGTGGCCATGAATATCTAGTGAAACATCGACAATGTGGGTAATTTCTCCTGACTGGATAGGTCTTCCATCCATAACATCTACCTGGCGAGGTTTCCTAAGAGGGGTCATTGCAAGATTATTGTAACGTACGAAAGATTCATCGATAAAAGCATATCCTGATGCTCCAGTATCAATGAGAGCGTAGGTGGGAATGAAGGAGTCGGAATTCTGAGAGACCGAACAGGTAACAACAAGAGAGTCTTCGGACATCTTATCCTCAGACACAGCAGCAGCAGGGAGAACAGAAACAGGTGGCGGGGCTGGCCCCTTTGGTTTGCCATTTTTTACCAAAGGGGCTGACCTTTTAGCGCCGGCTTTGGGGACACATTTTCAATTGGCCTTTCTCGCCAATTACTAATGGTACGGGGATCCTGAGAGCGAGGGGACAGATAGCGAGACTTGGAGACATGGCGAGGTTTAACTGTAGCGGCAGAGACGGAGATACGAGAACGAAGACCGGCAATAGTGGCATTGGCTTGGGCTTCCCAGGCTTTTGCAGCAGAGATGATGTGAAGAATTTCGTCTTCAGCATCGGCGAGGTTCTCGTCGGCAATGGCGAGACTTTCCTGGTGTAGGGCGAGACGATACCGAAGTTCTTCTTCTTCGGCCTTTGATTCTTCGAGCTCGCCCTTGAGAGCAACGATAACTTCATCGCGGCCCTGGATAGTCTCGGTAAAGTCTTCCTGGCATTCGGACAAGGTTTGCAATAGATCGGCAGCCTTTTCGTCAGCTGCTTCGAGTTCCTTGGTGAGATCGATAATGACCTCTTCTTGAGCCGTGTTGATAACGGGTTCGGGGATTTCGGAAGGCTTGGTGAAAGCCTCCAAACATTCAGCAATGAGATTATGGGCCTCGGTAAGTTCATCACCGAAGTCTATATCCGCTGGGAGAGGACCATATATGGTCAAAAATTCTGAAAGACGCTGCAACAACGTATCTTGAGTGATGTCGGACATGGTCGCGACCAGAGCTAAGCGAGGCGGTGTTGTATTGGTTGGCTGTAGAGGATGCAACCTAAGTCTAACGGGGACTATGGGCGTAGGGACTATGAAGCCAAGGAATACAACCGAGGCGAAGACGTGGACGTAGGAAGTTCGTGGACTATGGACTATGGGGCCGAAGGGTACACCTAAGGCAAGAACGGAGACTGTGGACTATGGACTATGGATGGTTGTACCTGGTCTAGTATACCGGGTAAACCCTATGACGTAGCGCGAACCAAATAGTATTCGTGACTGTAAAGTACAGAGGTTGCATAAAGAGAAAAGAGAAAGAAAGAGAAACAAGAAATCACGAGACAACGCCCCCCTTATATATCCATACCCTATCCCAATGCTGACTCATACCCTCGCGTAACAGAAACAAATAGAACATAATAGAAACCCACTTCACTAAACCCAACCACACTGCATAATCCTTCTCCCTTGTACCCAGACAACTCACATAGCCAATCCGTCTAGCTGCCGTTACACACCTTCGACATAGTCACCCCCGAAGAACTTAATAAAGCAATCGACTCCTGTCCAGCGCACTCGGCGACCGGCCCGGATGGCATTCCTTATACCTTTATTAAAGCAATAGTCAAAGCAAACACAACTCTAATCCAAGACATGTTCTCCGCCATGCTCCGGCACGGCGTACACCCAGCGGAATGGAAAGTAACTAAGTGTATCCCGATCCCGAAACCCGGTAAAGCAAACTATCATGAAGCAAAAGCCTACCGGCCCATTTCCCTTCTACAATGCTTCAGCAAAATCCTGGAGAAGATAGTGGCCCAAAGACTCTGCACCGCTGGAGAAATTCTAGGCACACTCTCAGCGAATCAATTTGGAGGAAGACCAACCATCTCGGCAATCGACGCCCTGCTGAGAACCTTAACGCCAATACAACAAAACCTACTACTGAAAAACATTACCGGAGTCGCTCGGCGAGACAGACCAGCGATCCTAACCAATGATATCCAAGGAGCATTTAACTGCGTCGACCACCTACTCCTCGCGGAAATCATGCAACAACAAAAATTCCCTACCTACTTAACAGAATGGTGCAAGGAGTTCAATACCGGCAGAAAACTACAGTTTCAATTCAACCATGAGCTAGAAGAGCCACAGCCCTATGATTCTGGAGTGCCGCAAGGTAGCCCCATGTCCCCGGTGCTATTTATGATCTATGCTGGAGTAATCCTGGACCCAACAAGCAGCCCGAAAGAGATGGACACTACTTACATCGATGACGACGCGCTGGTACAAATATCCAAAACACCAGGCTTCACAATCAAGAGAATGGAGGAACGAATGAGAGAGAGACTAATAAATGCTGAGCCACTCCAAATTAAATACGACCCGGATAAATCCGACTTGATCTTCTTCCGGCCCACCACATCATCCACACAACAACCACGACTTCCGGTCAAAGTTAATAATATCAATATACACCCTCAGGAAAGACTGAAATATGTAGGAGTCTGGATAGACCCGACCCTCTCCTTCCGGCCCCACATCGAAGCAGCGATCGCAAAAGGCCTTAAAGCCCTCCACCAGATTCGACACACAGCCCGCTTGCCAGGCATAACGGTCAAAACAATCCATCATATCATAACACAAGGCTTCCTCCCAAGCCTACTCTACGGATCCGAGGCTTGGTGGACCGGCGCAGACCACATTATAAGATCCCTCGAACCACTATATAATGAAGCGGCCCGGATCATCACCGGCCTACCACGATGGACCAAAAGAGCTAAACTCCTCCGAGAAGCAGGCCTACCCCCCTTAGAACACCTCCTGACATATCGCTCAAGAAAGTACGGAACCAGAATACTCTGCTCCGAGGCAACCCACCCCAACAATGAATCCCTGATCGAGCTCCTCCCTTACAAAGAAGCAAATATCAAAGGAACAGGCCTACACCGAATCGCTTCCCTACTACTCCCACACCAGACCCCCGGAAATGCGAGAGATAAGTGGAACCAAAATAAACTACTACGCGACCACCTGTTGGAAGAATGGAACACACAATCAATACCGAACTACCACCACCGGGGGGAATTCCGCCCCCCTCCCAAGATAGCGAAACTCACCCTTACGGAAGCAAAAAAAGTATTTCGAATCCGGTGCCAAACCACCCGAATCGACAAACACGCAGTATATACAGACCCCAAACCATGCCAGTGTGGTATGGAAAACTCAGCGAAACACATACTCATGGAATGCCCAGCGTGGGCTCGAATCCGTACCCCCCTGATAGAGAAGATCCCCGGAGCGATGACCTGGGAAAACTGGATGTTTACAAACCTGAGAACGGACCTCATCCTACAATTTGCAAAACAATCTCAACTCTCGAAATGGTACGAGTCGGCGGAGGCGGAGGCGGACTTGGAAGAGGGGATGGAAGGAAATGATTAGGGACGGGATTAGGAAGGGCAGTTTCCTTTTACTCTTTAAATTTGTTTTTATGTTCTGTTTTGATGGGTCCAGCGCTTGAGTCCGCTGAGATATGTTATTTCTCCTTGTCGTTGGGTTTTCTGGTCGAGTATTGTTCTGGAATTTCCTTGTTACTGTTCGTGCTCGCTTGTGCTTGTTTTGTTCTTGTTCTTGTTCGGTTGCGTTTATGTTTGTTGTTTTCTTTTCTTTCTTTCTTTTGTTCGGTTTTGATTTGTGTTTTAGGCGGTTGGGTCGGCGTGCGATAAGTCTTGTACTTCAAAGCAATATAAGTTTCTTCTTCTTCTTCTTCTGTATTTATTCTACGAATACTATTCTTTGTTCGCACTACGTCATTGGGCTCCAACCGGTTTATCATACCAGGTAGAGTCACCCCATAGTCCATAGTCAAAGTATATCTTTACGTCTACGTCCACGTCTACGTCACTACCTAGGTTGTATTCCTTGGCACCACAGTCTATCGCCTACAGTCCCTGTGATATTTTTCGTTGATCAGAATTGTTTTAAAAGATGGTGGGATGGGGGGAGGTAGTACCTATTTTAATTGAATAGGCCCGGCTGTTGACTGGGTGTTGACCGGCCTGGATATTGATCCGGATGTTGACCGGCCTGGGTGGGGCGTATTGGTTGCCACACAGAGGTCAGGGTTAGGGTTATGGGCCGGCGTGTCAGCGGGGAACCGCACCAAAGATACATGTACCAAAGTACCCCTTAAAGTGTATTCCAGTAGGTACACTATAGAAGATAGTAGATAGCACATTTATTTATTAAGATATAATTTAATTATTAAGATATAATTTAATTATTAAGATATAATTTAATACTCCTACATTTTGTTTTGACTGGGCATTGGCCGCTGTTGGTTTTGATTGACTGGGCATTGGCCACTGTTGGTTGACCACGGGCGATTTGGTGGCGCGGATTGGTTGCCACGCAGATATCAGGGTCAGGGTTCAACCGAGCGCGAAACTGCTCTATCGTAGTACATATTAGAAGATATGTAGGTACGCATTGCTTACAGGTACTATAATTGTAAGATCGTTGTTTTTGACCAGTGCAGGGAATTCCGGAAAGTAGAATCAATACAAGGCAAGTATGTACCTGTACCGGGGCGTATGCCACCAGAATTACTACTTTGATTAATAAGCCGAATTGAAATTATCTAGTACTGTACATACCTAATCAGGTCATTTCTAGCTCCAGTTTAAGGTTTACATGTGTCTGCTTAGTCATTGAACCCCTCCACATGTCTTCGAGCTTTGACATCGACTACAAGTGTTTCACCCGCAACTGCAGGAGACATCCTCAAAAGAAGCAGGAACAAACTCGACATCCTAGGCTCGTACCCTCCGCATCCCTGCCATCAACGCCCCGTATCCCCTGAGGCCATACAATAACCGCTATTGAATACACGGACAAAACGGTAAATGTCACTTCCCACCGCCTCTGAGCAAATCCCTCCCACGAGACCGCCTCCAAATGTGTCAAGAGATTCCGGGTCACGCCTAAAGATCCCCGAGGGCGAAGTATGGGATACAGTATGTATACCTGCAAAGAGAATGGCAGAATTTGACGAGCAACGACTGAGCTAATGGACTTGTGGCGGGAATTAGTTTTTTGTAGAAGATACCTGTGCGCTGAAGGATTCGCCAGACACCATCGGCGTTGTGGCAGTACGTTATTGTCTCGTATGCTTTCTAGCAGGACAAGTCTAATTTTTTTTTTTTTGAATCTATAGAAAACATGGCATGACATAGACGATTTGGACAATTGGGAAGAAATAGATGAGTGTGTTCCAGGAAAATACGCCTCCGATGAAGACGTGATGGAATTTCGGTCAACTGGCCAGGTTTGTCCCCCCGATTAGAAAATAATTTAGGATTTACCTAACATCATCACCCCCAGCCACCCCGGAATTATCTTCTCCTTACACCTTCGTCTCCGGCTATGCCCTCCATGCTCCTCCACGAGTCAGAATTGGTCCTTCTTGATCGCGCTCTTGCCTTCGGCGATGTTGTTAAGAAGAATTTAACATCTCCCCTTTCCGGTACAGTTGTCTCTGTGTCCACTTCAGTTGGCCTTCGTCACTCTTTTGTCGACCCGCATGAACCGACGGAAAACTATGGTCTTATTCCAGACGTTGGGGAGCAGGAGCTGGTACTTTCGAGGGAATGGACCAACGGTGATTTTGTTATATATAAGAATTGCTGGATGGGTGTAGTAGAAGAGGTTTTTGATGAGGTTGCCGTGCGACTTCAGAACGGAAGTGTTGTCGTTGTTGAAAACGCCTGGCAGCTTGAGATTCCAGTATTAAGTGCGGAAGAGGAGGCACAGCATCAGAACATCAACTCTCTAATAAATGGAATTGGAGAGGGAAAGGCAGAAGGGAAACCTACCGGCACATCTGGGAGGAGACCTTCCAGACCAAAAACCATTCCCTCACCATATCACCTTTCCGCGGGTCAGACTGTATCAACGAACAAAGCGAACCTCCGAAGAGGTCGTTGGTTGTATGGTGCATATAATGCAAGTATCCCTCCTATTGGCGTCGTTGTGGATGTCACTACTTCAAAACTCCATGTGACCTGGCTATGTCAAAACATGATCGTTCCTGGTCGTTTTGTGCCCGTCCAAAGGCCAGATATGGTTATCGAAACAGAAGCCGAGATTTCAAAGCTCAAGAAGTTCACAAAATCCATGGGAGGTTTCGTTGATCTTGAGGGCAAGCCTTTTGCGAGCATGGATGCTACTCAAACAGGGGGCTCACTAGAGGTGGGGGATAGAGTCCGTTTTAGAGATCTTGAGGCGGCCTTGGAAAAATACCAAGGTCGTGTCAGGAAAATCTCAAGAAGCGAATCTCTAGGCTTTGAGATCAACACTTTCGTTGTGGTTGAAACGAAGACCCGTGTAAGAGTGATGTGGCAGGACTTGACTGAAACCCTCGAGGAAGCTCGTGGGATTGTGCCATACCTGAATGTCGATGAGCACGATGTTTGGCCAGGTGAAATGGTCGTCATCAAAGAGGAGCCAGTTGAAGATAAGGCCAAGCCAAGTGAAATCAACCATGATGGAAGACAACAATTTCAAGGGGCCTGGCAATACTTCAATGAAAATCTTCTTGGGCCGTCTTCAGAAGCAGTCCCTGTGCCGGATTTTATTAAGCCTGAGAAGGTTGGCGTCGTTCAGACTGTAAACCCAGCAGAAAGGGTTGCGAAGGTAATCTGGTTTGCAGATCCGAAAGTAGAGATCGCAGGAAACATTATGATTCCTGGATCAAAGACTGGAACATTAGGAAATAAAGTGGAGGACGCCAGTCTCTATGAGGTCATTGCCCACCAATCTATGGGCGTAAGGAGGGGTGATTTCGTCCTTATTGCGCCTGAAAAGGACATATCTGAAGAGCAAGGAGAACCCAATACCACTAACGCCGGTGATATTACTCCTGTTGCTCCAACGAATCAACAGTCCTCCGGGGGTCAATTGCAGCAGATGGCAGACGGCTTGCGAGGGATGATCGATGGCGGATTATTAGCAAATCTGAGCGCAGCTTTAGGAACTAGTAACCATCCGCAGTTTCAAGCCGTCAGTAGGATGCTGAGTCAATTCCCGTTGATAAATAATTATTCCGAAAATACAAATCCCCCAGCTGTAGCTCCTCGGAACATGAACAACGAAGATTTTTATCTAAATCAACCTCTGGAATGGATTGGCGAAGTTATTGATCTGGGCTTAGATGGACTAATCACTGTGCGTCTCGGTGCCCTAGACGAGCCAAAGGATATTAAAGTTTCAATCGAACGACTACACATCATTTTCACCGGTGAGATGGACTTTGATTCACCTGGTGATGAGGATGACGAAGACGATGAGTACGATAGTGAAGAGAGTGGATCGGATGAAGATGACGAATTTGATGACGATGACGACGAAATATGGAGGGGAGATAATATAGTTATTGACGAACAGGTATACTATCAAGGCGGTGAAAGGATAGAAAATGATGGTGGCGAAGAAGCATGGTCAACAGACGATGAGGCGGATGATATGGATTTCGAAGGTGATTCTGTTGTTTCAAAACAACCAATCGGCCTAGATTCTGATGGCGATACTATGATGGGTAATCCTAGTGCTGGGAAGGGTGCAGAATCGGTAACCGAAGATATAAAAGAGTCCACGGATGATAAAATATTACTTCCTCCACCAATCCCAGAGGGCATGCCAGCGCCACAGGCCTTTTCTATTCCCACTTCTTCGAAACAACTGGAGAGATTTGCGATATTGGAAAGCGCCGTTCCTGCAGATCATGCATTTGGTGGACAGCCCGAAACTCCTGTAGATCCCAAGTTCCTTAGACGCATCAACAAGGAGCATGCAATCCTCTCATCGTCTCTTCCTGATGGGATCCTCGTGCGCACATGGGATCGCCGAATTGACTTGATGAGAGTCTTAATCATTGGCCCTCTCAACACGCCGTATGAACTTGCCCCGTTCGTGTTCGATTTTCATTTCTCGGCAAATTTCCCGCATTCACCACCACTGGCGCACTTTCATAGCTGGACTGGAGGCATAGGAAGGGTCAATCCGAATTTATACGAGGATGGTAAGATATGCCTAAGTCTCTTAGGAACGTGGCATGCGGAGAAAAGGAATGAGGGGTGGAGTCCCAACGGAAGTTCTGTTTTGCAGGTGCTTGTCAGTTTGATGGGTCTCGTACTCGTCCGGGAGCCATATTACAGTGAGTTTTCCTTCAAGATGTGTTTTTTCTTCTTTTTCTGGAGCTCAAGCGCTGGGAAAATCGAATGCGTGAATTGCCGCTGACATAGACCCTCTCCGCGCAGATGAGGCTGGCTTTAACGTCTACGTTGGTTCCAAAGACGCAACACTTAACTCAGCTCTTTACTCTGAGAAGGCATTTATTCTAGCACGTGGCTTTGTCAAGCACGTTTTGCAGAGACCTGTCCTGGGTTTCGAGGATGAGATCAAGTGGCTGTACATGCCTGGACAGCCTGAAGGGCCAGAGCTGTTGAACGAGGTTATCAAAAGGGCTAAAGAGGTCGTGGCGAGGAGTTCAGCTCCGAGGAAAATTGAGGACGGCGAAGCATCTGCTGAGGTCGGGAGCGAGGGCGTGGGTAGGGTGTCTGCGGGAGCTCTTGTGTTGCTGAAGAAGCATCTGGAGGCATTGGAGGGAATCCTGGAAGAAGGAGCGGGGGGAACAGAGGTCGTCTCCGAGTCTGCGTAAAGTGTAGAAAACGTGGGGCGCGCGGTTGAAGGAATATTATTATTCTGGTGTTACAAAAAAGAGGTTTTTCTTGGGAGGCATTGGCTTGTATTTTTTATCTATTCTTTTTTTTTTTTCGTTCACTTTGAGGATAGAATTGGGATCCGTGAGTTACTGGGAGCTTGTGGGTCTGAATAGGTCTTTTTTTCTTATCTTATATCTTTGGTAGTATGGCGTTATCAAGATGTGGTTGGTACCGATATCGATGTGCTGAAGACTCGTGAGTGTTTGGGTATGATTACGACCGTGGATGGGGACATGAGGCAATAGCGAATTCATTAAAGAAGAGCCGCTGGCCTTCTTATAAATTTTGCAGGTCTTGTAGATTCGATGGTACTGAGTGATTCTCTACCAGTAAGAGCACAGAGTACTACATGCAACTCTCCATGATCCCATTCTTCTTTGACTCCGTTCTCCTATTCCTTTCAGTATTAGACGTAGTTTGTACCCGATTATTATCTAATCCGGGCCCAATTCTATATTATGGAACCTAGAAACGATACAAGTGATCTATTACGATTGATGTCATTGTGTAACTATACTCAATTCTCACATGCGCAGCAGGACAGGGTCGTATCCTTCGTATTGTTTTCTCCTCGCGTCTAGTCTGAGAATACGAATAGTGAAGCCTTTCCACCAGAAATGGTAACTCCTACCTGTCCCGAGTAATTCGCGAGAAAGAGAAAAACCGAGTGAGATCCCCTGCGTCTTGGCAATGACCTGGGCAATGGTTACCTGGGTCCTGCACCGGGGTCGTGTTAGACCCACTCATGCGCTTCAACTCCTCGTATCGAAACTTCCATTAAAGTTTTGTTTCACCAATGAGTTTGGCCTCATAGTCCTGACTAATGGTCGTGTGTCTAGATGACTGAGATACGAACTAGCTATGAATCGTTGTCTGTGGCCTCCCGGTCCCGGGATTTGGACCGCGTGGAATCGGACCGCCATCTAGCTAACTGGCTTAACGTCGCGACGGATGTAATGATCTACGGCTCCGGATTCTGCGGTGAAGTGGGCTGGGAGGTTACGGGGCCGGGGGCTGCGAAAGAGCGAGAGACCTTTCTGTTGCTGTTATCTTACTTCCTATTATATAGAGTACACAAGAACCGCCCCCTTACGGCTTTCGGTACGTCTGCTTTGGTAACGATGGCGAGAATTCCCAGAGCTTTCTTAGTTGCCCTATCCTTCTGGATTCCATGGCTAGTCTATGAACCCGTGGTGAGAACTGGCTATGAGGCTCTTAGTATTCTACTACACTTATGTAGTTTCCGTTCGCGTATAGAGAAGCCGCCCAGACGGAGAAGGTCATGCTGCGTTTGTACGGTACTCGGGGTGTATAACTATGTTCGTTGACTTAGGAGGAGCCCGAGGCGGGCGGGCGAGGTTGATCCCTGTGTTTCGGCACCCGGCCATGCGATGAGATATGCATGTCGGTATGCAGGAGCCGATGCCGAGGCCGAGGAACACATGCAAATCAATCTATCGGCTGATTATCGATCTCAGTCACAGGCACAGGCACAAGTAATATATAGGTAGGAGGTAATCACAGTCACACAGCCAGCTCATCTTAGTATGCGGATGTTATATGGACCTCCCTTTGAGACACTCGTACTGACGAGTAGAGAAGGTTAATCCTCTTCCACTTCGACGTCTACTTGCTCATTTTGGTTGAATCATTTACCCACACTACAGATTATGGCATGCTCTTCTAGCTATTCGAATGAAGCTTGTACTGAAGTTAGGATCCAAACGCTTGACGCCGTCACCTTCTGCGGCGGCACGAATTGTGAGTTGGAAAGGTAGAGTACTTATGCACGGAGTGCATATTTCTATCCAAGCGCTTGTCTAGTAATGTATTTAGGTACTTTCGAATTTCCAAGTACGGAAAGTGAGGGGGGGCTATATGTGACCAGGCAATTTATATAACCAGATCCTGGGCCAGAGGGGCGAATTGGTTGGTTGGTTTTATTTCTGGAGATGCAGAGCGGTAGAGAGTGAGACCAGTGGTAGTACTAGATTGTGTGCTAAGTGAGTAATCGCCTGCCGTTTGATGTCGAGATGGGTACTAATATTGTCGCCAGGAGAGGGTTTTTTCTTGTCGGGTTCCCAGCAGCGCCTGCAGGAGGAGTATTTGAAATAGATATGTGTCCATCATACTAAATTAGAGTCACCTTTTTATCCCACTACGGCGGTTACCCAAACCAAAACTCCGCATTGTAGATGCCGACACCCTCACTTCTGCGAAATCCGAGTGATACACCATGATCAAAATCTCACGATCCGCCCCCCTCTTTCAACGCTCAGACACTCCGTCCCAATGCTCTTAGAACACTCTAGAACACAATCCAGCGGGAAGGGAAAATGCTTAAGATTAAGCGTATGCACGCGGTACTATATTGTATCTCACCGAGAAGCCAATACAAATTACGTGATTCTTCCAAAGCAAGCGGCTTCTTCTCTGGGAAGCTAGGTAACCCTCACTAATATATTTCTATAGTGGGGAGTATAGCATTGCAAACGTGCCCGTGGTACTGGAGAGAGGGGGAAGCGGTGAAAATGATGGTAGCAGCGTATGTATTCTTATCCAATACTGCGGCTCAGTTGTGCCCAGGGAAGGGGTAGGACATCTCTCGCACCGTTTGAATCCTACAAGATAGATACCGCAATGACCGCTCGCTCGAAGGAAGGGGGCCGGAAAAACTTTATACATAGTCAGTTTTGATGGGTCGTTAAGCTTGTTCCGCCTCCCACTTCTTTTATCCGACATTCAAGGATCCGGAACATATAGATTATCCGTTGCTGGTTGGGGTCGTGGTCGTGGAGGTCCGTGCTGCTAGCTAGCTACCCAGTTTAAGATCGCTAGGAAACCTGGGTATGGAGAGTGGCACTTCTGCCAAAATTCGGGTATATATGTGTAGATTGGTATAGGTACGTAGCTCTCCCTGGTAAAATATTAGAGTGGCAGCATCCCCCCCCCCCTGAATCGCAATACGGAGATGGAATGTGGCGGCTGGGTGAGTGATGATTGTTAGCTTAATAGCTCTCGTATTCTCCCGAATGGATGTGTGTGGAAGTGAATCGGAGTTTCACCAGTATTCTGACTCCTTCCTTCGCGTAGATATTGTCGCGAGATTTCTCTCCTAGCGTGGTTTTTGGATTGACAGGACAGGAAGGGCCAGTGTTTCGACTGTGGCAAGGATTCGGCGCTTTGCAATACGTGTGACACAATGCTAGTTGGCAATCGAAGGATTGAGTTGTTCCAGAAGATGCTGTAATTTCTTAGCTGGAGTTGTAGGATCTCCTTCTTTTTCGGACATGGTGCGAAGAACAAAATGTACTTGTCGGGCTTCGTAGATGTGCATTGGGACACGAGGCACGGTTTTTAATAACATCTACATAGCGTTTTCTACCAAACGTCAACTCTTGCATGTAGCCAGCCATACTTTTACCATTGAAACGAAACAACTAAGCGAGTCTTACGTTTTGCAAAAGCCCCTTTCGCCGATATTAAGTTATGCCAGGAGCTTCGTTTATAGTGCGGGCTGGCGGATTTGTGAGGTGGAGCTGAATAAGGAAGTAATAAAGCTCGGCATAGGCCGATACCGATAAGCAGGGACATGGGGATTAAAATCCTTAATAGCCTACTATATATCTGATACTGACTTAAACGCCTCGAGCCTCCCCCCAAAGCAACAGTACGCGCGCGAAACCCGTTTTGTTATTGAAGACGCGGGAGGATGGAGATTGGCTAGACTACCCGTAGTCAGTCAATGAGAGAGGTAGAAATTCAGTAGAACGGCGGAGAACTAGTAGTTAGGAGGAAAGGTAGGAGAGGGAAAAGTCTTACTCCAAGAACTGCTATTTAGTACCAATTTGTAGGGATTCTAGGTATACATTTCTAGTTAGTCGTTATACCTTATTGCTGTTGCTGTGATTATTAGGCGCATGTAAACACTTTCAAGTGATGACAGGACAGGGGTGCATTCTAATCCCACACATACTAACTACTACTACTGCAGCAACCACTATATGCCTTTCCGCCACATAGGTACTTGGTCTCAGACCCCGCAATCTATGGCCGACAACAAGTACTATCCATGGCCATGTCGAACCACCAAGCCTTAGATATCATCATATGTTGGAATTATTACTGCGGCTCGGATAATTCTTTTTTCGTTAGTTGGGAATCTCGGGATGAGTTTTGTTGGTATATAAGGTAAACGTCTTGCCCGCATTATTCTCCTCCTCACCACACTCACATTCACTGTTCATTACTCCTGCCTGAGGCTTTACTCTCATTCTTCATTTTTCCATCCGCAGCTCACTCTTTTTGTTGCCGATTTCAATTCAATCCCGGGTACTGGTATCCTAAACGTCTTCCACTCTTTGATCAATTACACAAGTCGTTTTTCACTCCCTTTCAAACCAAAAAACCAATATCATTCAAAATGGTTAAAGCTATTGCTCTCCTCCCGGTCTTTGCCGCTCTCCTCGGTGCTGCTGAGGCACACACCCGCGTTTGGAGTCTTTGGGTCAATGATGTCGACCAAGGTGATGGTCGTAGCACCTACATTCGCAGCCCTCCTAACAACAACCCCGTCAAGGTAAGTTTTCATTGCTCAATTTAGATCAAGGTCCTTTAGATATCTAACAATTCTCTCAGGATGTAACGAGCTCCGATATCATCTGTAACGTTGCCAACACTAAGGGCTCTGCCAGCGTCCCAGTTGCCCCGGGTGACAAGGTTACCTTCGAATGGTACCACGACAACCGTGCCGACGATATCATTGCTTCCAGCCACAAGGGGCCTATCACAGTCTACATTGCTCCTGCCGCCTCCAACGGAGCTGGCGCCGTCTGGACCAAGCTCGCCGAGTCTGGTCTCTCCAGCGGAACATGGGCCGTCGATACCCTCATTGCCAACGGGGGCAAGCACAGTCTCACCCTTCCTTCATCCCTTGCCTCTGGCGACTACCTCTTGAGGGCTGAGATCATTGCTCTCCACGAGGCCGACACTGATTACGCCGTCAACAGTGCCCGTGGTGCACAGTTCTACCCTTCGTGCTCTCAGGTCACTGTTTCTGGAAGTGGCACCACTTCTCCTCCAGGAACATTCAACTTCATCGGTGGTTACACCTCCACTGACCCTGGCATTCTGTTCAACCTTTACGGTGGATCAACCACCTATGAGATCCCCGGCCCTGCTGTCTGGGACGGAACCTCAAGCGGTAGCGAGAGTGCTTCTACCAGCACTGCCGTCGCTACTGTCCCTACTACCACAGCTGCCGCTGTCAAGACCTCCACTTCCGCTGCCGTTGTTGTCCCGACTACTACCTCTGTTGCTGTTGTTGTCCCGACTACCACCTCTGTCGCCGTTGTTGTCCCTACTACCACCGCAGCTGTCGTCGTCCCAACCACCACCAAGGCTGCTGTCACAACCACCACCAAGGCGGCTGTCAAGACCTCCACCGCTGCTGCTGCCGCTACATCTGCCCCCGCTTCTGGTTCTGGCACTATTGCCAAGTACTACCAGTGCGGTGGAAAACTCTGGACTGGTTCAACCTCTTGCGTCTCTGGATGCAGCTGTGTCCACCAGAACGACTACTACTCCCAGTGCTTGTAAGCGTCTCAGCACGACCAGCATCTTCTTCTTGAGTTTTTTCGTTCCAATTTTTAAAGTTAGTGTTATAAAACGACGACATTAGAGAAGACGGGTGTTTTTTTTTAAAATTTTTGTAAAGCCGGATCGAATAGTGAATTGTGGGGCTTGCTGGCATAGTTACTATTTATATTTCTTCTTATGTATTTTATTTTAAGGGGGGTGAAAAGTTGAGGTGATTATTATAAAATTTAGTATAGGCGGGATGCCTAAGTCATTCCGTTAATCATTTGTGTTCCATCAGTGCTAGAGTGAAGTTTAAGTGAAGTCTGTTCTTGCGTGCTATTGTAGCTGATTATCTGATAAGGATGAGGCTCTGGTTCTCAGACTATCACTCGACACCCGTATCAGATCTTGCATACACCACTTCATCTACAATGAACTGTGTTCTCTAGACCTACCAAGAGAGCTCAGACGCCAATTATTGAGGATTGCGGTTCCACGATACCTTATCACTCCCAGACGGGCTTTTAGAGTAGATAGCTGTCCTTGAGCTGTCGTCGTACCGTCTGGCCACGTTCTCAGGTTTCTCTCTGTTTAAGCCTGACCCAGACTGCAGCCAAGCCAAGCCAAGCCAAGCCACTACCTAAACTCTAAACTCCGGATTATCAATTAGATTCACTTATATCTAGTGTGGGTAGCGACCGGGGGTCCTAACGATTCGTCTTGGGGTCGGGGTCATAACGATTTTGACGGGACCAGTCATAATGTAGGTCGTATCAGTGCCAAGAAAGGCGATTCTAGTAGCAAAAATTACAGACGTTTCTCAAATTGTTCATAACTTGATGATACGACCCCGGAAGGGGATACAACCTAGGTCAGACCGGGCCCCAACACTGACCGGTCGTTACGGGTCGTGGGTCATTACCAATACTGCTTACACCATCAGATTTTAAAGTTCTTCTGTCTGATTCCTTGATGGTTCACTGCCAGCGCCTCTTTAGGAAACGTTCTGCTCGAAGCGGTATATCCCGGAGATTGGCAGGCTTTATCTCCGTACCCCGCAAAATGACGTAAGAAGGGTATAAGAGTCGAGCTCTCTCCCCGAGCTTTGTTGAAGATATTATCATCGCTACGATTACTACTGCATACTAAATAATAATATTCAACTCGAAATAATCAATTGAAATAATAACCACCCAACAATGGCCACCTCATCTAAGCCAAAAGTCCTCTTCGTTCTCACCTCCCACAACAAGCTCGGTGACACCGGCAAGCCAACAGGATGGTTCCTGGTAAGTTTCTCCTTTAATAGGTGTGTCGTGGAGATAGGTGCTAATAACCTTTGGGTCGTATCAGCCTGAGATGGCACACCCATACCACGTGTTGAAGCCTCATGTCTCCATCACTGTCGCCTCACCAGCCGGAGGAGAGGCTCCACTTGACCAGGGCTCAGTTGAGGCTTTCAAGAATGACGAGATCTCTACCGATTTCTTAAAGAACGAGGAGACCGCCTACAAAGACACCCAGAAGTTGTCTGCTTTCATCGGTCACGCATCCGAGTTTGACGCTATTTTCTTCATTGGTGGATACGGACGTAAGTACCCTACGTGAGAAGGTAGATTGAGAAACCCAATTGCTGACGAGACGGGGATAAAAGCAATGTTCGACCTTCCCAATGATGAGATCTCGAAGTCCCTCACTGCGGAGTTCTATGAAGCCGGAAAAATTGTCGCTGCAGTCTGCCACGGGCCTGCGGCGCTCCTTAATGTCAAGTTGTCGAACGGGGAGTACTTGGTGCAGGACCAGCCGGTGACCGCGTTCTCAAACGCTGAAGAGGACTCCGTAGACTTGTCGAAGCACATGCCGTTCATGCTGGAGACAGAGTTGATCAACAGGGGTGCCAAATACGAGAAGGCGGCGGAGCCTTGGAGTGAGAAGGTGTGCATTGGACGCGGTGGAAGGTTGATTACGGGACAGAACCCTGCGAGCGCTGGGGCCTTGGGAGAAGAAATCAAGAAGGCACTGAAATTGTAGGCAGATTTTACGCTTCGTTTTGTTTAGCAACATTACTTTAGCATGTGCCAATTGAAAATAAGTGTTTCAAGCTCGTTAGCTACAGGCTTTTTTTGAATATATCAACGCACTTTGGTCAACTTATGTTTATTAACTACCACACCAGAGCTTTAAAAGGAAGTTACGTCCTTCAAGGTAACGATAATATAGCTCCAAACCTTCTATTTTGTCACATTTATATCGTTTTACGTTCTGCACAGGTTTGGCGGACAAAGAGTGTGATCGGTGAAGTGATCAAAGTATACGTATGCGCAAAGAAGAGAATCTTCAAATCATCGCAACAAAGGGCCTTTAAAGATACAAACACCTTCATAATTCATCTAATTTTGACCACTGACCTCCACAGAATTCTACCATTTATTTGGTATTTGGACCACTGCGAAAGCCAAAAAACACAAACCTCATTCCAGATATTTCCTACGCATAGCTTTCTATTCAGACACCCTAAACCAGAACCTCTCAATCCATCTCAGGAGTCATTACTCTTCTTCCTTCTAGCTTGGCAATATAGAAATATCTCTACTCAGCTAGTACCTTACCGGATCAAACGACCATGTGTTTTTACCAACGTCTCATCTTCCCGTGCAGTCATGGGGTAATTGAATGGCTCAAGGTAGAACTATGCAAAAATGCCCTCCAACATTCAGACCCAAACAGACAGTACAAATGCCCGCTCCGCGTCCCTGTGGGAGGCTTTATTAGTCAACACGAGCAGACATGCGCCATATGCGAAAGTGAAGAGCGCAATAAGGGGACTATGGGGTATGGGTCTCCTCCCGCCGACCCGGTGGTGGAGACCCCTGTAATGAGAGGTAGTGAATGGTCAGATGTGAGTTGTGCTGCTACTACTGCCATATATCTATCTTGAATCGTTGAGAGAAGGTGGAATGGCTAATTCCCAGAGTGGCTTGACACATCGCGAAGGACAGTTAACTCAACATATATCTGAGGCCACTATACAGATGAGAACGACACCAGGTTTACAGGATCGACAGACCTTCGTGCAGCCGACTCCAGGGCCACAAAATCAGTATCGTTGCTCACCTCTTAACCCGAATCGCCCGCAGGAACAGCCACCGCAGGTTTCAATGAAACGGAAAGCAATATATATTCTAGACCAAGAAGGCCGCTCGACTAAACGGAAGTTTGCCTCATCCAGTAACGTAGACATATTACAAGAAGGAGATGGGGGGGGGGAAGGGAGAGGAGAAGCAGCAGCAGCAGTAGGAGGGGGGGGAGGAGGAGGAGGAGGAGGAGGAAGGGAAGGGGGCAGAGGGGTGAGAGAGGGGGCCGGAGGAGGTAGAGCAACTAAAAGTGCTATTAATCAACGACAGCAGCAACAGGCGCCCTCCCTCCCAAAGGAAACTCCTCCCCTGGTGGTGAATATCCCACCCCCGCCATCACAATCTCCTCCTTCCCCCCGTCCTCCAAACTTCAGACAGAATTTCCCATATCCTCCGGGATATAAACACTCGGAGCCAGGGCCACGCACAAAAAATGAGATTTTCCAAGATGAGATGCTGGAGCGCATGGCTGAATGGAACACTAACCCTGGTGAGCCGCAGACGCTAGATATGGAGCGTGCTAGGTTACTATCCCAGAATACTCTGAAAAATGAGATTACTGTGTATAATCGGGATATGAGTGAGTTACAGTCCAGGTCGAGAGCTAATCTTCATGCTATGACTATGCAGCGCGAGGAGGATAAAGGGCTCTGGGCGGTTTATGATTACCACATGAGCGTGGTAAGAATGGAGGCCGGGAATGCGGAGTGCTTAGAAGTAACAATATAGATGGTCATTGATTTCTCCTTGTTAGCGGATACTGCATTTTACCATCGTTGAAAATCTTAGAATCGAGCGTTCATATCTTACTTCCACGGTATTGTGGAACCAAATACTAAATTAATCAATATCATGGGAATAATTATAAGCGATTACCAAGTGCAACACGTGGTCTTTCACTCCAACGTTAAGGAACGAAACAACGATTAATGAGTTAAAAAGAAAATGAACGAAACAGCTGCATCATCATGTCTCACTCGCTCAAGCCGAGTGGACATCCCAGTTATCATTGATTGCTTTATTCATTGATTGAGTATATGTACATCACAACCATTACGTTATTATATCGCCATGAAAGAAGTGTAAGTAGCATTTATTTATTTGCAAGACCATAGAAGGAGTACATATGCTTGTCTTGAAATGACAAGGGAAATGTCCCAAATATCGCTCGGATGAAAGAAGTGCAGCTGCCAATAGTATCCATCAAACAAAACGACCTTAAATCTTCTTGTGCAGTACATTCCAGTCCTTGGATGTACTCTCCTCAAATGAAAAGAGAAAAAAGGTAAAAAAGAAATAGCTCCACGCAAACCCGTAAAACTTCAACAAAGATAACATAACTTTTCTTGGCTTACTCGGAATATGCGAAGCCCCATCCGTTCATTCAATACCGATATTTTTACTCCACAGACCCCTCAGAAATCCCGTGAGCAAATAAACATGATTTAACCATCAAATCACTTTCTCCCACCGATATCCCCTGGCGCGTCCTCCTTTCCCATGTGAAGCTTTTCGACATTCATGCAGCCGATAGACAGATTTCTTTCAATTTGCTCAGAAATCGTTTCGATTTCTGGTATCATTTTCTGGAACTCCTGTACTTGCGAAAGACGTTGAAATCTATCGTCCTTTAGGTTGTGAACTGCTTCCATGCCGACAATTTTCTCCGCATTCAGCTGGTTTTCCAACCTCTCAATATCTTCCACCGACCCATCGGAAGCTTTGGAAAAGTTTTGGGTTCTTTTATAGCCAGCGGCCCCATTCCCCTGATTTCCAATCCAGCTATTTACGTTTGTAGCACCACCAACCCATGAAAAGTCCGGCAGGCTATCCTCGTACTTCTGAGAACCATCATCGGATTGCTGTTTCGATATAGCTTCAAAGGGAGGCTTGGAGCGCACAGAATAGCTACTACTATGCTGTTTAGGGGTTTGACTAGCCTCCTCCGACGCTTGGCCGCTCGAGTTCGCAAATGAGTGTTTGATGCCTGGTTCATCGATGTATTCATCGCCTTCATGGCCCCAATTACATGTAGATCCGTAGCGACAATCATTCACATGGCTGAAGGTCCATCTACATTGAATGTTCCATTTGGCCGGGCGGACACGAGCCGCGGCTGGCATTGACGGCTGAAATACGGGAGCTGTAGCATCAAGTTGATGAAAGCTTGATTTCTTATGTTCACGCAGGGTGTTTGAATAGACACCTTCAGGCCAGTTGTTGTATGGGTTTGTATGCGGTGGGTGATATTCTTTGTTTACAGCAGTGGCATACTGGTAATCGTTATCACCGGAAAACCTTGATAGATGTTGGGCACTGGGAGTTTTTCTCATCAACCTTTCCGGGATGGATCCGTTAGAAAAAGTAGGTGTATGTTGTATAAGTTCCCTCGGATTGGATCCAAAAGTTGTAACCTGTTGAGAGTATGTCTTTGGGGGAGATCTCGTAGGAAAGGTTAATGGCGGTGGTCTATCCGTATTCCAAGTGCGACTTTGTCAGATGATATGATATGAAATAATAATTTCATTATGAGGCTCAACTCAACTCACCTATTCGAATCAATTTTTCTTGTCCCAAAAAGAATACCCTCTCCAATCCTAGCGTCCCCTTGACCAAGCTTAGGCATCGGCTCTCGAGCGTCGCTCGAGCGTCTACCAAAAGGCTTAAACCTATGGTTATAGTCTTGAGGCTCTTCACGGTCGAATAAATTTAGATCGGAAACTTGACGGGTATTGCTTGGGAGCGGATGATATGATGTTGGGGTTGATATAGACAAAGGACCATAATTAGGTGTCTTTGAGAACAAGTATCTTTGCTGTACGTTCTCACTCATGATCCCGTGGGCATTTGTACTGAATCTGTTGAGAAATCGAGGCTCCGTGGTTTTCTCCAACAGAGTGGTAGGCGTACTCATCATGTTTTTAACCTGCCTTACGGAACGTTCGGCGTAGATATTATCGTCGTCTTGATCCTGTGTCTCTTTGCGAGATTGGATCTGTGCAGCACGGATTCTGGGTTCTGGGATAAATGTCGGAACATGGCCACCCATCCCAGATGTATTTGTGGTATTGAAGCGAAAGCCCATCACAGGATCTGAAACAAATACAGTGCTTCTGGTTTGTCCGGGAACATCATCTTGTGGGTGATGATGATAGTTTTTATGACGGGTGCCCTTAGGTTCGGCCCTTTGACTCATCCAATCAGCCAAAAATACGAAGCAGGAATATTGAAGTGTGGCTCCATCAATTGCAAGGTTGATTATCGTCGGTGATGAGACATGGAACGACTTACATTTTGATTTATGATGATCGAGAGATACTGCGCTCTATCCAGGTACTTCTGGCGATAGAGTAATTCTAGGCGGGGTGATTGGTTGATGGAAGGGATAGCAGGTATGTGGTCGTTCTGTGTTTACAAAAGTAGAGGATAACCTTAATGTGTTGAACTTTGATGGATGCGTGGGGAGCTAAGACAAACCTCCGAATGATAGGGTGTGACGCGGCTTGCCGAGCCGCCAAAGGTGTATTGTAGTACCCTACTCCACCAGCAAATACATGTATCCACTGTCCTCACGCTTTTACAATCAAATGATCGCTATAAATGTTTATATTGTCATATATAAATCATCGAGTTCGTATATCTCAATAAGGTTATTGTGGGTAGTTACATGTATGTACTGTCTTCTCTGATGACTACAGCAGGGCTCAAACGCATATACATGTATCTACATGTACATACAGATATATACGTGTGTTCTATAAACCCCAACCCTCGATTTTACACGTATGTTTGCTGAGAAATTAACGTCTGTCTTTTGCGTAAAAGGACAACATTCTGGGGTCTACGTATATTAAAGTTTCAATCAAAATTCTATATATATAGGGCAGGGTCTAGACTCTCTCACTCGTATATACATATACTCATGGCCAGTTAGCTTCTATACCTCTTTTTTTATTACGTCTCTAGCTGGAAATTATTAAGCACTAATTGCCTTGCCGTGTTTCGTGGACATTCATCAAATAGGAATCCTCATTACGTCATCATGGACGAAATGAGTCTGAAAACAAATATACGGCAGATGGAAACGACAATACGCGAGGTTACAGAAAAAATCAGACTAAAGACAAAATGGATTAATGTGCCCAAAGAGCCTAAGATCGAACCTATAGAGGAGGTGAAGGCAAAAGAGGAAGAAGATATAGAGATGATGATAGAGGAACAGGAGAGGATGGACAGAATGAAATCAGTACGGGAATTTAAAGAGTATTGTGCAGACTTATTGGCCCAAAAAATACAGGAAAGAGATGACACAAACGCGGAGCTCATAGAATCCATGGAAAAAGACCTCCAGTATCTAGAAGGGGAAGATGCCCAAGGTTATATAAATAACGCTCTGGACTCCGGTGTACCGAAAGAATACATCAAAGAAAACCTTTATCGGCCTATCGGATTAGATGCAGTAACACCTGAGAGTGCACGATCTGAAAAAACAACTCAATTAAACAACGACATTGAGCCTGGCGATCATGCAACATCCACAAGAAAGAGTCTTGATATCTCTAGCTCCGTTATTAAAGAGCCTAAAAAATCACCATCCTCAAAAAAAATCGAAATTGTTGTGGCTCACCATCGCGAAGCGCTCGAGTGGCTTGGTCCATTTCTCAGTCACCCGGGGGTTAAGATTTCTATCTATTCAACAGGTGGCAAGAAACTTCCTCCAATATTTCACGCTCATACCCAATATCTCCGTGATAACGTGGACCATGGTGTGGGACACACCTATCTCTATCATATAGTGGCCAGATATGACACCCTCCAAGATGTTACAGTATTTTGCAAGGTAAATCGTAATTTCTATCTTCTAGACTCACAATATATATGTTAACTACACGCATATAGCTAATCTCCAACTAATTATTGAAGGGGGACGTATCCGAACGTTTCGACTATAGGCCTGAACGATTTCTGGTAGAGGCTTTAAATACCAGAGACCAAGCACCAATCTTTTTTGAAGGTCAAGAAGCAGAGGAAATCGATTTATCCGATAGGACAGACTCTGACGAGTCTATAAACCTCATCGACTGGTCTAATTACAGCTACAGATCATCTGACCAGCTCGGGGTGAAAGCGGAGACAAAAAAACCAACTAGCCAGTGCACGCGCGCCGATTATTATTATATACTCATGATGGAAAGATTAGGATACAAACCTCCGGGCCTATTGACAAAGTAAATATACTTATACTCACAAAACAAACACGTAGGCTAACGTACGTACGCAAACCAGGCTCGCACTAGGAGCTAGTTTTTCTGTGACGAGAAACAAGGTTAAGAAACATCCAAAGGTAAGTCTAATGTTTTGATAACCTCTTAATAAATTTCAGGCCAACATCTCGTTAGTCATTGTGGGCGCGAATGCTCAATCAGCCCTCCCTCGACGCGATGGGGCCGATGGAAGATCCAAATCCAACGACCAGCACTATCTCTAAGCGGTATACCTTTCAGCATCTCCTTTTACCACCAATATATACTAAGTTTTAAGAAACAGATTATCGCCTACAATGATCGAACCTATGACGATGACAGACCTTGCGGACGCGGTGGATCCCATGGAGATAGATCAAATATGATGCATCTCAAAGATATATTCTGTTCACACACCGTCTTTGATTATTGAAACACCCTTCTCGGTTTTCAGTATTTGAGACCTAGAGCGTGGGCATATATACATGTATGGTTATTTGTTGACCTTGATATTACTGTCGCGCGCAAGAAGATCAAACTTGGTACATGGTAATTTCAAATCTGTATAAATTTCTCGAGTCTCGAGATGTACAAACAATGAACGAAGGGAGCAACTCTGGTTATAAACACCATGGCAGAAGATCTCATATAAAAACAATGAATTCAAAAAGATTAGAGTTATTGAATGCGAATCGTTTATCAATAATAAGATTTGCTTCCTGCTTGAATAAAAGCCTGATTTCTATCAAACGATGATATAAATTTATAAAAGCGCGACTTTAAAAAGCGCTGGCTACATGTAGGTACATGTGTGTGTGTGTGTGTGTGTGAAGTCATTTGAATTGTTTCTAGGTACAATCATCGCATGCAGTAAAAACTATGGCGTAAAGACCTATCCCCAATGCCAGTCCCCCAGTTATAGTAACTATGGTATGCTACCAACCGCACTCCTCTTACAAGGTTGATGACTAAGGAAACCCCCGCCTAAGAAAAAAGGAGAAAAATAAAGATAACACAAAGGAAAATAGCGTAACCAAAGAAAAAAAGGTACTAGTATCCCAAAAACCCCAGCTATAGTGACTATGGTATGCCACCAACCGCACATCCCCTTGAAGGGCAGATGGTGGGGGGGAGAGAGGTTTGCCGACCTGGAAATGACGGCTTGGAGGAGGAGGAGGAGGAGGAGGAGCAGGTGCTGGTGGTCTTTGGAAGGTGACCTTCGAGCTCGATATCCGACGGGGCCCTGTATGAAAAGGCCCCCAGTTACATGTAGGTACATACTGTACATACATATATATATCAAGAGGTTAGGCAGGGTTAGGTTTTCGATACACACTAGCTCAATCCAGAGCACGTCAATTATTAGTAAATTCTTCGCCCGAAGATATCAATTCAACACATGTATCTTCCTCACGTGCACGATCGAAACCAGCTTTGACTATGTTGGTACATGTACTTACAAAGTAAGACATCAAGTCTTCCACAAAACTCTGCTGCGGCACCCACTTAATAAAGCCACGAACCTTGGCACTAGGGCGAGAGGCTGGGCACGACGCAGAACCTGAACTCGACCAGAATTAACGGCATCCGATGACTCCCAGCTGGTAAGTTCAGGCACAGATTCGCAAAAAAATTCTAAGGGCTGAGTACCTATAAGAACGTCAAAGGTAAACTTGGATAAGGTCTTGACTCGTTGATGAAACGATATGACTCGAGTCGTGAACCGTGGGACATTACAAGGTTACATGCAGATTTATTTTAATATATCGTCTGTTCTAGCTCGTGAAACTCAAAAGCGTGTATGAAAATATTAAGCGATGTCATCAATGATATGAATTCAAGTCGCCATTAATCTTTTTTGCTTTGTTTACTACATATGTATATATCTTCATTCAAAATTAGCAAACCATAGGTATGTATTGCACTCTACGCAGCTGCTCTAGAGGCACCTGTACATGTAGGGCAACAGATACGGCATGCATGCTATGATGGCTCATTGACATTACCAAGACCATCCCGCAAATCTACATGCATGTATATCTAATTTTTATGCCATTACTTCTATGTAGCGAAATGCATATAGACAAAGAAAAGAAAAGAAAAGAAAAGAAAAGAAAAAAAGAGAGAAAAATCTTCACAAACTCTGAGTTAAACGATACACCCGGCCCAGTAGTCCTATATAACTATATTCAAAACATGTATTCCCATACCTACTTCAAATGAGCTAAATATCTATCAGTTGATACATGTATTCATAGGAGTCAAGTGTAGGGTTTAAATCCCATAAGTTTAAAAGTATCCGTTGAAATCTCAATGCATGTTATCAGGAATCGGTATCTAGAGCAAGAAAGTCAGCTCGATGTTGACTTCTGTGGCGTTCATATCGTGAACCCTAGATGTACCACGACAGTAAGTGGACTTCTCAGTCTGGTAAAACTTCCCATAACGCTAATCAGGGCTGAATAAACTTTGTGTACGTACATGTAGCTGAATCCAAAGGATACCATCATCCAGACCCTCATCTTTCCCTTTTCTTTCGTGGGCTGAGACTTTACGGACACCATCTCAGTCTTTACCCCACCTGTGAATCCCTCATATATAGGGTATGGAAATGGTTTAAAGGGAAGCCCATATTCCATATCTCAATCCCAAATCATTCCAAGATACTATCCGCAAAGTAATACTACCTCTATATCCTCATACAATCTCTTTAACACTCCCATCATGCTCAACTTCAACTTTCTCCAAGTGGCAGCGATGTTCACATTATCCCTCGGTGCTGCAGCACTGTTGGAACCGAAATGTGGGGTTAATGGATATGTATCTCCTTGGGGCTACGATTCCGAAAATGGTCCTGTTGTATGGTCGAGCTTTACAAAAATCCCGGATATTGGAGACGTCGTTGGGACTTGTAACATAGCTCGGAGTGCAACTCACCAGTCACCCGTGGTCATTCGTCCGAGTGTCATGGATAAAACCGAGAAAGAGACAAAGCTTGACTGGCATCTCGGTCATGAAGGCCGTGAACTCGAGTTCGAGTTCAACGGGCATACAGTTGAGGCGATGCTGGAGAATAAGACTATTCCGCTTACATCAACACTCAATGGGGACCCATGGAAATTTGAACAGGTGTGTATTGGTTAAAACATGCAAGATTCCTATGCGTATTGGAGAATAACTTAAACTAACCTCACTTGCATAATCTAGTTCCACTTCCACACTCCTTCTGAGCATACACATGGTGCTGGAGAGGAAGACAAGCCAACCAGATTCCCTCTAGAGGTTCATTTCGTCCATTCTTCAGGGGGCAGGAACGCAGTCCTCGGAATCTGGTTCAAACTTGATGACTCCACACCCAACCCTTTTCTTGAAGAAGTCACCAAGAATATCGAAGATCTCAAGAATTGTGGTGACAAGACAGAAAAACTCCTAGTCCTATCAGAAAAAACGTATGTGAACCTAGCCTAGCTAGTACGTTGAAGAGCAATCTAACAATAGATCCATACAGGTTCGGTGGAGTGAAAGAATTTGTCGAAGCCCATGCCACTATTGGCAATAGCAACATCACCACATACGAGGGCTCACTTACCACACCACCGTGTACAGAGGGTGTCAATTGGTTTGTTGTGCAGCAACCTATGACCATCTCTACTACCCAGCTTGAGAAGTTTCAGGCTATCCTGGGACACAACTCTCGTTGCACAAAGAGTGAGTGGAAGAAGGCAGGCTGGTCGGTCGATGTCGACAGTCGCTCGAACAACTGTAAGGCATGATTTAAGAGGAGCGTTATTTAGCTATTTCTTTATTTGGAGCTAGGTCGCATGCACACGTTGTGTGCCGGGATAATGTATCGTTTCAGTATTGCCGTCGAAAGGAATCTCGACGGGCGTCATTCATTTCTAGTTTCTTTTGCTTACTTGCTCGTACGCGTTGGGGGGAGTTCTGTTTTTCCTTTCTGTATCTACACGATTTTCCATATGTATATTTATTTAGCAAATTGCAAAACTTTGCGTTTACCAATCTCAAAAACAATGTCCTGGTTCGGGTCAATGATCACGTACATGTACAGCTTAACCGCATCTGGTTTAGCGACCCTATCACACTCGATCCCTGATCAATGATATCGACATTTCGATGGCTTCAGATTATCTTTCTGTTCAACAGCATCCCGCGCGATCCTGCAGTATCGACCACGAGGCTAGGCGCAGAAAGAATCAATTGAACCTCCGCCAGTCTGGATCTTTGTCGCATACGACCGGACCAGTATTAGACGAAACCTCGCCCACGAGGTGTCATTACTGTACGTACATGTATGTACCTACATGTACTCGTATTTCTCTGACGTTTTTGGACGCGACTGATATTGCATGCCATACAAAAATACGCCAAGCTCATGATTTTGGGTGTATGCAATAATGGCCCAGTTCAAAAACGTCAGCGAAATACTAGTATCTACACGTTTCACCGCAGAAAACGCACTCAGCAAAGTTGGCCCGATATCCCACGACTGTAAACCCCCATATGAGACCCCCAATAGGGCGGCTTGCGCTTAGCTTGGGGGCTGAACGCAACGCCACAAAACCACCACCAGCCAACCACAACGCTCCATATTCCCTTTTTTTTCTTTCAGGGCAACCTTATATTTTCGCGAGATCGGCTGAATAGAGTGTTGACAGCGGGTAGGGTAGAGTAGGTACATTAGGGTAATCTACTCTACTCTACCTACATCGAAGCGATGCTGTTGATGGAAGGACTTGATTCGCTTGGTCGACTGAGCCCCAGAGTATCGCGTGGTTGACGTGAGCTTAACATTTGACAGATAAGAGCTGAGCTACACTGAACTGCGTTGGTCGCTTGTCTGGCCAATGGGGCCGCGTCGGAGGCGTCTGCGAGATCTGGGATCGGGCTAATTGGAGCTTCAGCTATGGACAGCACTTGGTACTTGTGGATACTTTGAACTGTAGGTGCTAGTTAAGGCGACCGGCGACTCCGGTACGTTGCTGGAGATGTGTTTCGAGTTAGATAGGTGTAGGTTGCCTTATGTAGATATGCTTCATCATGGAGTTGGACATGCACTTTCAATTAGTTGCGGCTCTGGCTTAATTCAGCCCTTGGGTAAGCCCTGTTTATGCGGTTCGATTTGATGCGGTTGAGATCTGAAAACAAATTTAAAAAAAAAATCAGATTTGGAGCCTTGTTTTACATAATCGATTGTGACAAAGGAAATATCTGCTGCATGGCCCATCACTCGTTCCAACTCTCCCCTTCCTCCTCCCGGTCGGTTATCATGGGTACCGTCTTTCATCTACAAAGAAAAATATGTGTTTCCATCATGTCCGACCATCATGTCCGATACCTCCATAGTCATTCACCCAATTCACCCACCGCCTTCCCCGCCTAGTCTCATCGTCCACCCACCGAATCCCCCGAGTATGACGACACCGGAACCATCAGCAGCCTATGAATTGAGGCTACAGACACATCCCACCAGACCCGTAGACTCACGCAAAGGGCAGGAGAAGCTGGAACTCGATTTCGGAACTGCTCAGAGGATCGCTCATAGGTCTGTCTTATCGTCCTTATTTCGAGGGGCGAGGAATAATAATATTCTATGTCTTTGTGAGGTTGAGGAAGATGGCTTGAATCTCTAGTGATTGAGGCCTCGAGTGCTTGAAGTAGAGCCTACTTATGCTTCAGATTTAGACACACCCAGCGTGGGACCACGGGGTTGTCTCACTTCGGCGATAGAGCAGGCTTACTCGGGTTCTGCGCGGTCGACCAAACAACGGTGTCGGCTTCGAAAAAACAATCCCTATGTCAATGGTTAGAATACTCTGATCCGGGCTCTAATTCATGTTTGTCTTTCCACTCTGTCCCCGGGGTGCAGGTTGTGCCAAGGACCGAGTGATGGGCTGTGAAGCTTTTTCGGGGGGGGGGGGGGATTCGACCTTGGCTTGGGGGCTTTGGGTCTTGGTCGGAGATGCGGGTTGGAACTGACTCGTTGTTTGATGGGGGACCGGGGAGGGGGGTTGGGAGTGGTGGTGTTCCAACAGAATCGGAAACACATTGGTGGTGGGTTGGGTGTGCAGGGTCTCGTGCTACTCTTGGGACGAGTACGTCAGGTTTGATTGGCGGCTTATCAACAGCGTAAGTTGGCTAAGTGTGGGCTTGGCACGGATAATCTCAGCTGGAGCAATCTAGATCTTGCGCTTCTTACCTGTCTGCCGTCTGCCGTCCTCTCTTTGCTAGCAAGCTACTCAATAAGCCGGCCAGTCAGCCCTGGATACATGTATATTGTCTTTGAAATTGTTTCGACTCGAGTGATCGGTCGAGTATACCGATCATATGCAGTCACCCGGTAGGATGTCCCGCTTCTGACAGAACGAACTTCGGCTAATCAATTGAGAATCACACACAGCCATCAATTCTCACTCTCTACAAACTACACTACACTACACTACACTACATGCACATGACACCACCAACCCCCCACCCCTCCCACTCCACCCGCAACCTCTATTTCGGCGCCGCCGCAACCGCCGCGCCCCTCTTCTCATAATTAGCCTTCACCGCCGCCCTCTCCCTCAACCTGCTGTCCCACGCGGCCGCAAAGGGAAACTCCTCGCGCCACCCATCCACCGCCGTGCCCTCGAAATTCATATCCGTGTACCAGTTCCACGGCACAAAGCTCAGGTCCGCATACGAGCACTTCCCGCCCACCAGCCACTCCTTGTTCCCCCGCCGCAGCTCAAGATCAATCACGCCCAGCACGCGGCGGACCTCCTTGGTGTAGCGCTCGATCGCGCTGGGGATCTTGTCGCCCGGGTGGTACCGGCTGAACCAGACCGCCTGCCCCCAGTATGGACCTTGTCCTACCACCGCATCTCCGTTAGCACCGCAGCTGGGGGGCGAAGGAAGGAAGGAAGGGGGAGAATGAGAGAGGTGATTGGGGGGGGGGCAACATACCGCTCATCTGGAACATCAACCACTGCAGCGCCTGCCCCGTCAGGTCGTCGTCCATCTCCTTCGAGAACGAGATCTTGTGCTCCGTGTCGTACTTGGACACGATGTAGAGGATGATGGCGCCCGACTCCCAGATGGTGTAGTCGTTGTTTGAGTGGTCGACGAGCGTGGGCATGCGGCCGTTGGGGCAGAGGTCGATGTACGGCGAGGCCTTCTGCGAGCCGTCCATTTCGATGAAGACGGTGTTGTAGGGGAGAGCGAGCTCGTCGAGGATGATGGCCACTTTCCAGGGGTTGGGCCCGTTGCGGTGCGAGTAGAGTGTTAGGCTGGGGGTGGGGGTGGTCATTGTGGGTGTTGGGAGTGCTGGTACTGGGCTGATGGGTGTATAGGAACTGAGATGATGTTGGCTGGCTGTGGTGTAGGAATTGAGATGATGAAGGAATTGAAGACTTGATGAATAGGTGAGTGGGCAGGCCAGTTTATATATCCTAATTTTAGACCTCCCCCTACACGCGTCACCACTCCCCATCTCCCAGCAACCCCGCCCGGCGCGAAATGTTCATCCGGCGCGAAATGTTCATCCGACGAAGATCATGCTTTGAAATCAACATTGTTGCACTGGGTTAGGTGTTGCAAAAGAAAAAGGCTTGGTTGGGGATATGATACGATGCCAATGATTGTGTTACCGGGGTGTTGATAGACAGACAGGGATCACTGGGAGTTCCCCCTGGCTCTCATTGGTCGGAGTCTACCGCAGTGCTGGATTACAGCATGGTGCTGGCTCATGATGCCTGTTGTGGGTGACGCATTATCTTCTTATTCTTTCCATCGTGGGAAAGAGAACTATTTGTATTTCTGTTGTTGAAATCTTTGTAGAAAGAAATAAGGTGAATTAAATACAGTAACTACATGTATGCTAGAACGGCCACAAAGCTCTCATACTACTACCGTATGAAACAAAACACCATAGCTGCATGTTCTCTCTCTTTCCCTCCCACTCATCCCGTCCACTCCGAATCACCAGCCATCACTCACGCTGCGGGGCAGGCTAGCGGAATAGCTGTTGAGACCCGTTACCACCACGTGGTAGTAGTCGATTAAGCATATGTGATAGTCTTGAGATGCTATGATAGTTAGGCTGCGTCAATCATGTCACCACTCTCATCTTCCTTCATTCGAGCATTAAGATCCAGTCCTCAGATAGCGAGACCTCTCCAACAGCCTGAAAGCCCCTCCGACTCCCCTCTGACTTTCCCCCCAAATGAATGATCCCTGCCAAGCTTAAGTCCGCAGCACCCACTGACGAAACACCGCGAAAAGTGTCCGGGGCAGAGGTTCACTAAACACCAGAAATATATTGCATTCCGGATCCCCCACTGCGGGTGTTTGTGCCCAGCCGGCCGACAAGGGGTGAGGGTTAGGGGTGGGGGGCACAAAGGCATTGTGCAGTTGTGCACCATGCCGACGTTAGACTTCCGAATGGGGACACGGGCTAACTGCATTCGATCAATCAATCAATCAATCAATCGGTCGAGCAATCAGTCAATTACACTTCACCCGAAACAACGAAACTGCACAACCACGGACCGACGGGCAAGAGCGAGAGAGACGGCCAGCACGAGAGTTGCAGACATAGAGACTCTTAGAGCTTGATCTATCTGGACGAGAAGAGTGAGGGAAACTCCAGAGGCAGAGCAAGAACGCCTCTAGGCGTACCGCCAGGCAGAAGGAGAAATCAAGTACCTCAAAGACCGTACCTCCAAGACCAAACCACGCCCCCCCCCCCCCCGAATACCATAAACCATCTCCACCCCCCCCCCCCCCCCCCCCCGCGCCACCCTACCATGGCCTCCCCCTCCCCCACGCCGCCCTCCCTCTCCCCCACCCCGCACCCCCACGCCCCGCAAAGCAAACGCGACAAGCGCCGCCACGCCCTCAGCGAGAAGCTCACCACGCTCACCACCTCCTTCCACAACCCGGCGAATCCTCGAGCCCGCGACACCCACTACCGCGCCCAGCTCGCGTCCCTCACCGCCGACATCCAGCTCATCACGAAATGCGATGCCTCCGGACGGGATATGAGGCCGCTGGACGATAGCAGTGATGCGATACACAGAGAGGTCGAGGACGCGCTGGCGGGGATGGGCTTTGCGGATCAGGGGGTCGTGAGCGGCGCCGGGAGGTGGTATGGGGACTTTCTGGAGAAGGTGAACCAGGGGATGGAGGAGCGGGATGCGCAGCTGACGCTGCTGTATGTATGTTGACCCCGAGACTCGCGGGGGTGAGCGGTGCGGCAAGGCTAACAGACTGACCGGGCTGCAGAACCAATACAACCACAAATCGCTCTCCCTCGTTGCGCACCACACCCGCAGCATCATCCACGCCCGCGAAGAGCACAAGTCCCTCAGCGCAACCATCCAGCAGCGCCTCATGGCCCGCCTCAAAACACAGCTCAAAAAGCTTGCCGCCGAGAAGGAATCCAACAGCAGCACCACCCTCTCGTCGCTCTCATCGCTCTCCACATCCGCCTACACAGACCTCACCGAGACCAACGCCCTCCTGCTCCACCCCTCACAGTTCGGCCTAGCACCTTCAATCGGCTCGCCCCGCCGCCCGCCCAACCTCCCGCCCCAGCAGACGCCAGACGACGCCCCCCGAAAGCCCCGCCGCCGCGCGGGAGAGGTAGAGGAGCTCCTCTCCTTCGGCGTCGGCATCAACTTCGACCCGCCCAGCACGTCGTCGAAGCGCAAACGCACGACACGCACCCTCCCGCCGGTTGAAGACCTGCCACTGCTGTCCACGATGTCGCCGCCGCCCGAGAACACGGAGCTGTCCACGGCGCCGGCGGCAGCAGCGGCGGCGAGCACGGATAACCGCAGGAGGAGGGAGGATCTGATGCGGCAGGTGTATACGCCCGTGTACAGCTTTGACAAGCTGTTTACCGAGAAGGAGCTGCAGCTGGCGGGGAACCAGGCGTCGCTTGCGACGGTAAGGTATTTCACGGAGAGGCAGCATACGAGCTATGGGGATGCCGAGGACAGCGATGAGGGCGGTGCGGCGGCGGGGGTGGAGGGCGAGGATGAGGATGGGGCGGCGGGTGGGTATCAGGGTGCTGCGACGAGAAGTAGGGAGATGGAGAGTTTGGTGCTGGGGGGTGTGCCGGGGATTGGCATGACGTATGTGAATAAGGCGGGGATTGCGCCGCCGCCACCCGGGCTGAGGAGTGAGGAGGCGGAAATGGATTTGGCGGCGATGAGGAGGGGGGTGGAGGAGTGGGGAGGGTGGGAGGGGGCGGGGGAGAAAAGGAGTGCGGGGGTGGCGGGGATGGCGGGTGGGGATGGGGGGAAGAAGGCGAGGAGAGGGTAGGTTGGGGTGAGGGGGTAATATGTGCAGTGGGGTTAGCCTGCTTGCTTTCCTTTTTTTGTTGTGTAGTTTCTTGTGCTTTTGTTCTTTCTTTCTTTGTTTTCTTTTTTTCTTTCTCTCGTTTCTTACTGTCCTTTACGTCGTTTCCACAGTTTCCACAGTTTCTTTTCTTCTTTCCTTCCTTCCTTCCTTCTTTTCTTTCTATAGCTCTCTCTCCATACCATCATCTCTCCGGCATCCTCCACATCCACTGCATTATAGGACCCTGGACTCTCTTGCTCTTCTACTTCTTGCTCTTCGTTCTTCTTCTCGTTCTTCTTCTTGTGATTTGTAGGGCTATAGCTACTTTTAGAAAATATAAGTGTTTCACTCTCTCTTGCCAGAAACATACACCCAACAACCTAGGCAGGGATGTAGGGTGCAGGAGCTACATGTAGTCACGGGCTATCACTCGCTTGTAGGCTCTGAACAGCTGACATGGGGTAGTGGGAACGAGTGATGGACTGTGATGGATTCATGGGTCATGGGGTGTCACTCGGTTAGTGGGGTGGTGTGGCGGCTGGGCGAGTGTATGTGAGTGGTTGCTGCTGTGGGTCGGATGTCTGGCGAGCCTGGACACTGTGTGGTTGAAGCGGGTATCATCGAAGAAGTCAGGAGCTCGTGGAGAACAGTCCTCCGGCCTCTTTTGCAGGGCGGTATTCTTGCTCTTGGGGTGTTATGTGGTTGGTCCTCCTATCTTACCTGAACACACGACATAGATTTTTCGTTCTTGGGGGGGGGGGGGGGGGGGGGGCGGAGTAGTGCGCGTATCTGTAGTGGGAATAAGAATTTACGTTTTTGAGTATCACGCGAAGCTCGTCGCCCGAGATAACCTCAAATTTACCGCCTTGAGGCTGCATGTGGGCCCCTAGAGCGTCTCAAGAAACGACTACGAAGCGCAATGTCTACCTGTTGTTGACTCGCAGCTGATATCTACCTCTCCCCGTGGGCGACCCTAAGCTGCCATGTAGAACAGACTAGCTAGGCTTATCAACGTCAGCCTGTGTTGATGGAGTAGAAGGCCAACGCAGTTATTGTGTGAAGGCATGTAGTTTCGGCACACTCATCCAGTCTTGATACGTTGGTTGATGTCTAGATCTTTGCCGCGGTGCAGCCGGGCTGCTGCGTGCTCGTTGTCCCTCCTATACCATCTGATTATCTCCCACCCCTATCTGATTAGCTGCACACAGATCCGCAGTAGTGTGGTCCACGAGGACGCTCGAGGCGAGGTTTGGGGGTGTCCTCGAGGTGCTTCGTCCTCGTTGACCTCTGTCCTTGTCTATCCTCGAGGTCCGGCACTGTGGTCCTCGAGGTGCCTCAAGGTACCTCGAAGACGATAAAAAACGACCCGGTAGAGCAAGAATCTTCAAATGAAAGGTATATTTTATTAATGACTTCATTCCATTAGTATATACTTTTATGTGTGTATTATAGCCAAGAATTGTCCTTGGAAGTCCTCGAGGCAAGGACAGTCATTGTCCTCGAGGTTCTTTGTCCTTTTGGACCACTGTCCCCGCGTGTCATCGGAGACATGTCCTCAAGGCAAGGACACAAGGACGCTCGCTCGTCCTCGTGGACTATATTGATCCACAGAGCCACGTACGTCCACTCTCTCCGGCCACACGCACAGGCCACACACTCGCTACCTGCTCCTCCCACCGGGCCCAGCCCTAACGTCAGCCAAAACCAAGCTTGGCATCCGGGCCCGTTTCTTTATAAGGCGCGGTCTCCCCGCACCCCTTCTTCTCTCCTCATACTTACCTGACGACGGGGACTGGTGCACATGCATACCAGTTCCCCTGAGTCCCCTTCCTCATTGCACATCGAGGTTTCTGGGGATTCAGCCAGAGGCCTTAGGGCCTCCTGGGTTGTTTAATTTTTGATTTTGTTTAATGGGGGTCCTCTGCGCTCTTGTTTTCATTGCTGTCTGGGCGTGGCCGAGACGGTGATGAAAATGATTATGTGGGGTTTTTTTTTTCCTTTTCTTTTTTTTTTGCTTGGGCTTCGGCTTGGGTTTGGGTTTGTGGGTTGGTTGGCTTTCTGGGGGTTCTTTGGTTTTTTTTTTTGCTTGGGCTTCGGCTTGGGTTTGGGTTTGTGGGTTGGTTGGCTTTCTGGGGGTTCTTTGGTTTTTGTTTTTACTCGGGCTCCGGCTTGGGTTTTTGGTTTCTAGGGGCTTTTTTGTGGCTTTTGTCTTTGATGAAAACCAAATTTTTTTTCCTTTTGACTTGGGCTTTTTCTGGTTCCCCCGGGGGGGTTAAAAAAAAAAAGAATTTGGGCGACTGAGGGTTTTTCTCTTTTGTTTTCCTCTCTGTCTGGGCGTGGCCGCGGCAGCGAAGAAAATAAACAAATGTTTTTTCTTTCTTTTTGGCTTTCGTCCGATCTTTTGCTTGGGCAGAAGAAATTGGTTCCTGTTGCCTGTGTCCCCGTCCCTTTTGGGGTTCTCATCTTTGATGGAAACCTTTGTCTTTTTTCCTGAGCTTTTTTTCGTAAGACTCAGGTTCAGAGATTTTGTTTTCTTTGGGGAGTTTTTGTTTCGTTTTTCATCTCTGTCTGGGCGTGGCCGAGGCAGCGATGAAAACAAAAACAAAGGAGATTTTCGATGTATGGAAGAAATAAGAGCTTTGGCAATCGTAGTATATATTGGCTTGCCTAATATAATTTATTTCACTACAAAAAGAAGTAAAAAGGGACAAAAAGTACTGCAACCGGCGACCAAATCCAGTTACTACTCCCACCCCTGGCTTGAACCCCGGACCTTTGGCATCCTGAGAACAAACACTCGGTGTCTAACCTGACGAGCAGTCTAACCACTAGACCACTCGCCCATGGTGGATGCTATACTTGGGGTGATAGTTGAGCCTGGCAGTGTGCCAAGATGAAGCAGAACCCCATGCCAACCCTTCGATGTCAATGCTCAGCCGTCCATAATCATTTTGGAGTGACATCTTGCGTCATGTGTTATTGAAGAGCATGTCTACCTTCAGCTGTCTTTGTGCTTCTCTATTCAACGTTTCTTTCTTTCTGTATTTTACCATCAATCAAACAATCTCTTTACATAAATTTACCGTTACTTGCTCTGTATTTCTTTCACAATGAATATAACAACCTAGTATCCGCCAGTCGAAGGCATCAGTATGAACGGGTATTTTAAAGCATTTATCAGGTGCTAAATCAAATAATATGTAAATTCAAAATAGTGGAGATCCGTTCATTCATTCAAACTAAATAAAAGCTACAACACAAAGTCCCAGTCACAATCTCTACGCAATCCAAGTCTCAACTGCCCTCTTCGCAACAATCTTTCCTCCCTTAATCACAATCCTGCCATACCCGGGCTCCACAACCAACTCATGAACCCCCATGTCCCTACTCCGCTGACCCACAATAACCAGATCCGCCTTATCACCCACCGAGATCGCCATTCGATCATCGTCCTTATACTGGTTCTGCAGGACACCGATTGCTTCTTTAGCGCGGGTGGTGATACATTCCTGCCATCATACCATGAGCATACATACTACTTACCCACACGGGGAAAAGAGTGGAACTTACCAAGAGCACCCTACAATCCGCCTGACTACCACCCTGATACACGATCCCCAACCACGCCACCATCCCCAAAGGATCCACACCCCCCATCGGCGTAAACGCATTCCCGACATTGCCCACACCCAACGCAACATCAAAATCATAGTTCCTAATCCAGTCAATCACCGGCAGCGTGCCCCTCTCTGTCGCACCGCCGCCCGTAGCAGGCCCATCAGTGGGGCCGCGGCCCATGAAGTACAGGTCACCCGTCGGCACACCGACAAAGTGGATGGGCAGGTTGTCGGTTGATATGAGCTTGTGGAGCTGGCGCAGCTCGTAGGGCGGGAAGAGGGAGAGGCGGGTGCAGTGGCCGAGCGTGATGCGGAGGTGGGAGGGCATGCTGGCAGACCAGGAGCGGGATTTGAGCGTATGGATGAGGTGGTATATGAGGGGTTCGTTGCGGAGGGAGAGGTTGTGGTCGAGGTGGAGGTCGAGATGCTTTTTGTTGAGCATGGCTAGGGGGAGCTTTTGTTAGATCTAGCTTGCAATTGGGTATAAATAAAGATCAGGGCCGGCGCAATTACCAATATCAATGATCCAGTCGATGTTTTTCTTCGCCAGTGCCACTGTCATTTCTACGTACGGCGCGCTTCCAATCGCATCGACGCCGTCTCTCTCGCATGCCTCGAAGAACAGCTTCCGCATGGCTACACCATTATCTTCACCGATGAACACGGCCTCCTGCGCAAAAACTACTCAAAATGAGCCCCGAAAAACTCAATATAAGGGAGTATAAGAAAAGAAACACAAACCAGCAATCTGAATATCACAAACTCCCCTACCCTCATCCCCAAACTCCTTCTTGAGTTTCAATCCCGCCTCCAAGCATTTCAATCCCACCATCTCATCCACCTCAACATGGCACCTCATGCTCGTCACCCCCACCTGGACATTCTCCATAATGAGCCGTCGGCCCCGCTCGATCAAGTCTTCCTCTATGTACTCTTGCCTGGAGAAATTTGTCAATTCCAGCGCCTCGCAGAAGGATCCGCAGACCATAGGTGGCCCGCGGTGGATGAGGTAGGGATTGTCGAGGTGGATGTGGGGCTGGCAGAAGGAAGGTAGGATGGTCCCGTGGTTTCCATTGATATTGGTAGCATAGGGGACATGGGCAGGGGGTGGTGGGGTGGGGTAGATGGCGCTGATGAGGCCGTTCTCAATGGTGATTGTGTATGGCGTATCGAGATCGTCCCAGATGAAGTGGATGTTGTGGACCACGAGAGGAGGGGAATCAATTTCCATTGTGAGTGTTGGTTTTTAGTTTTTTGGCTGATCTTCTAGTCTCGCCGTTTCTTGAGAACTGAGAATTATGGATTTTGAAAATTGTTCAATGCAAATGATAATTGTAGCTAACGGATGATACTGTAGTATTTTCT